TGTGATGGGTACTGAGGTGAGGACTGAGGCACTGGCACACATTATTGGTGTTTTGGGGTTTTTAAAAATTAATTAATTATTTATTTATGCATACAGAACTGGGGTACAGGCCAGATGTGTGGTGGGTAAGAGCATTTGCCAAAGACAGAGTGGGGAGCAGAACAAGCAGATCTACTGAAGTACACTGCTGAGGGAGCAGCGGGCGGGTCAGGGGAGATCTATGGCACCATGTGGGTCAGCTTCCTGGCCAGGGATTGAACTCATGCTGCATTTGCTGCAGAGGTTCATAATGTGGTGCTTTAAACCATTGTGCCACTATTATTGTTTTGTTTTGTTTTTAACAGAACTAACTTCACTGTACTTGCCACAATCTTGCAAGGTTTCCCAACCTCCTGGGAGACTCCCAGTAGTAATAATAGCTATGGCACTGAGATTTCCAAAACCTGCGTTGGAGAAGTAGCTGGTGAGGTAGCAGCAGAATTTCTGGATTGAAAGGGTTTTAACAAAGCTCCTGCAGCTGGCTGTACTTCGGGGAGACTAGGAATCCCTAAAATGACTGCACCTACCTTCCACTTGGGAGTGAGGGTCTGCTGCTGAGGACTGATGTGCCAGTGTTCCCTCTGGCTGGCAGACATTTCACTTATTCATTAGAATGTTTGCATACTTGTTGTGATGTGCCTAGCACTGCCCTAAGCACTAGAGATATGTAACCAGTGGGAAAGAAAAGCACATAAAAGTATCTGCACTTGTGGCACTTAAATTCTAGCAGGAGATGGCAGACAAAAAATGACATCGGAAAGTGAATTACATTCTGTGTTAGTGCTGGGTACATGCTAGGCACTCAGGTCATACTGGGGGAGATGAAAGTTGGGACAAGGTGGTACAGGAAGGCATGATTGAAAGATGACGTTTGGGTAAAGTGCTCAGGTGTTGTGGAAACAAGCGACAGGGCAAACGGAAATGCACAGCAGGCAGAGGGAACAGCAAGTACGAAGGCCTGGAGGTCTCAGAGGTATCCAGAGGATGAGCACTTCAGAGTTGCTGTTGCTAACCTTCAGGCACACACAGGGAGGAAAACACCAGCACCTTCAGCCGAGTGGAAAGACTGAGCGCCTCACGTCAGACCATCTCCAGCTCACTGGAATTAGGCTGGTTTGCCTGACCAGGGCCACACAGAAAAAGGATATTGCTGAGATCAAGGATTAACATTTGTGTATCATTCAGACCTGTTAGCTCCGCAGTGGGGTGAAAGCACACATAAGGTTTGGGCTCAAATTCCAGTGGTCATTGGCCCTTTTCAGTAGATCAGTAGCCTCTCAATAGAAGAGCTTAGTATAATGATTGTGGCTTTTACTCTTAGTGAAATGGAAACTTGTTTTTTTAAAAAAACAAGCATGGTATTAATTATATTTAAAAGTTTTATTGTGGTAAAATATGCATACAGTTTACCATTTTAACCATTTAAAAATACAACAGTTCAATGCTACTAAGTATACTCATTGTTGTACAACCATCACACCTATTCGTTTCCAGAAATTTTTCATCATCCCATACTAAAATGTTGGGCCCAGTAAGCAGTAATTCCTCATTCTCCTTGGTTACCACTGTTTCACTTTCTGTCTTTGATTTTGGTTGCCCTAAGTAGCTCATATAAGCAAAATCACACAGTATTTATCTTTGTGTTTGGCTTATCTCACTTAAGGTCCTCAAGGTTCATCCAGCCTGTTGAATGTCAGAATTTTATTTTCAAGGCTGAGTAATATTTCACGGTATGGATACTTTTCTGTTCATCTGTTGGTGGACATTTGGATTGTTTTCACATTTAGACTATTGTGAATAGTACTGGTGTGAATATAGGTGGATAAATATCTCTTCAAGTTCCAGTTTTCAGTTCTTTGGGATAGGTGCCCAGAGTAGAATTACTAGATAATTGTTAATTTTTTTTGATGAACTGCCATATTGTGCAACAGCTGGAAATTTGCACTATTTACGTTTCCAACAGTGCTTGCTCAACGGTTTCAGTTTCTCCAGATTCTCACCAACACTTGATTCCTGTTGTTTAATAGTAGCCATCCTAGTGAGTTGAAATTCTTAGTTTTTTATTTGCATTTCCCTAGTGATTCGTGCCATTGAGCATCTTTTCATGTGTTCCTTATAGTTTCAAACGTTCTGAATGATGTGTTGTATATTCTCAACTGTAGGGTGACATGGAAGGCATGGGGGGAACATGGAAGAAGAAAGATCCGTTGGAAGCCTATTAGATAGAGCCTGCCTGGTGGCACAAGGGGTTAAAGCGCAGCTCTATGGAGCTATAAGCAGCCACTGCAGCTTGAGTTTGATCCCTGGCCAGGGAAGTGACCCATATGGTGCAGCAGACCTCTCCTGACCTACCCACTGCTCCCCACAGCAGTGTATTATAGTATATCTGCCTGTGTTCTGCAGGTGAATCCTCTTACTCACCCCTGCCCTTCACCCTGACCTACACCCCAACTCTTGTGTGCATAAATAAATTAAAAAAATTAAAAAGAAGAAGCCTATTAGAGTAGCCTAGGTAAATTATGATGGTAGCATGGAATGTGATATCAGTGGAAGTGTTGAGAATTCCTGGCATTCTGGATATATGCAGAGGCTATAAATATATCCAGAAGCTGTTAAACTGAGTCTAGAATGATTCCTATGTTTATGGCTATGCAAATGGCCATTTACTGAGGGATGGGGGCTGGTGGGGGAGGAGTATGTTGGGGAGCTGAGATGTCAAGAGTCTGATTTTGGACAAGTTGCTTATTGAACTTCCAAGCAGAGATATCTTGTCAATGGACATGGGAGTTGGGGGATCAAGGGTGTTCACTCTCTTATGTTGCATAATAAACCACCCCAAAACTCAGAGGTTTAAGATAGTAAGTTTATTATTGCTTATAGTTCAATGGGTGAATGGGCTGTTGGCCAATTCTGCTCTGTGTGGCATCATTTGGAGTCATTTGGTTTGGTTGCATTCAGCTAACAGCTGCTGAGCAGGAAGGCCTGCAGTGACCTCGCTGTGTCTGGCAACTCAGTGCTCCCCCATGTGGGCCACTCCCCCCTCAGGCAGGGCATCCTCATAGCTTGTGGCTACAGGGAGTCAGACTTCTTACATAGTGGCTGGCTTCTCCAGAGAGAAGAACAGAAGTTGTCAGTTCTCTTAAAAGATAGGTTTAAATTGATGTAGTGTCTCTTCTGTCACTTCCTATTTGTCCAAACGAGTCACATGGCTAGCACATATGCAAGGAACCTTTTGAGAACAGTGTCATATGATAGCAGCCATCTTTAAAGTATAGTCACAACAGAGCTCAAGGGTGGTGATACAAGTTTGATACAAGTTTTGGTGATACAAAGTCAGCCACTACTCAAAGCCATGGTACTGAATCAGATCACCCAGGGAATGACTGTAGATAGAAAAGAACTGGAAAGTCTCACCTCTAGGGTTTTCCAGTGTTTGGCCTTTGGAGAGCTGCTGCACATAAGATTGAGGAGAAACAGCCAGTAAGGTAGGAGGAAAACCAGGAGAGAGCGGTATTGCTGAAGGCAAGTGCAGACAGCGTTTAAAGAAGCTCTCTCAATCAAGACAAGGGATGATGCTACAATTGGATTTGGCCAAGTGGAGATGCCTGGTGGGTTTACAAGAAAACCTCAGTGAATTTGTGGAGAGAAGCTTGACTGGCCTGGTTCCAATGAATATATGTGTATACACATATATACACACCACACACACACACACACATATATATATACAAACACACTATCATATATAAACGTTTTATATATACATATATATCCTGTAGTCTCACTTGAATAATATGTTCAATCTTGAACCAATTCCTGTGGTCTGTGAACTACCACGTGCTGACGGGCTGTGGCCAAAGGGAATTACTCTGGCAGGGTTAACAAATATAAGACCCACCGCTATTGCTGGCAGAGTCCACTTCCCTTGAAGCATGTTGGCTGTACTGGGGGAGGGGCAGGTCCAACGAAAACCTAAGCATCATTGGGAAGGAAGACTCAAATGCTGAGGAGATTCTAAGATTCAGTTCTGTGTCACTGAACAATTGTGAAAGTGAAATGAATACACTGATAATACTGTTTTCTCTAAAAGGCTCTAAGAGGTAGAGATGTAGAAAAGGTAGACAAGGATGATGAGAATTTGGGGGTAAGGATGTAAAATCTATGTGAGAAGAGACACAGAGTAAACGGGGCTGGAGTTGGGAGGGTGATGTAAATTAAACACACCTGAGACAGAATTCTCACTACAAGTCAAGAATAACAGTCTTCGGGGCCTGGAAAGTACCCCTTTTTCCAAGTCATTAGGGTCAATTAAACCCTCATGAGGGTCTAGTTGACTTATCTCTATGCTACATTCAGAAGGTTTCTACAGCTCCGATGGGGTACAGATGGGGTACGAGACTAAAGATAACTTGCCTCTCCCTGGAGCTCAAGTTTCTCTGGAAAAAGGCCTAGGTTTCGTTTCGTTTCTAACTAGCGTCCCATACAAATCTGCCTAGCTCCAGTCAAACTGGACTTTCCGTAGCTTCTCCACAGCCCCCATATCCCCTCCCTTCCTGGGAGGGAAGTTTCCAGTGCTTTGAATGTTGCTCTTCCACCTCCTGGATGAAATCCGCTCATTTGGAAAGCCAGCCTCCTGCCCTCAGGGTCTCCTAAGTGTGCCACAGCAGACTGTCAAGATTCTTAAGGACCTTGAAGTTCTTCCTTATCTATTTGCTCACTTTAAAAACAAATGTCTTCTTTGTACCAATTGCTGTGCATCTCGAGTAAGAAGAGTATCTCTCTCTCTCTCTCTCTCTCTCTCTCCTCTCACCTTCACCTCAGTGAACCTTGAAACTCCTAAAAGGCTGTGTTTTATTGCCAAAGCGAAGCAAAGAACTGAGACCACTTAGTGAGACAGCTTATAGATCGTTGTTCAGAGGGAAAAAACTGCCTTTGAAATTATTTGAGTCATTTTGGTTTTTATTCAGAATCAAACAAAGCACTATTATCTGTATTATTTAGCAGTGGCTTTCAAACTTTTTGCCGTGATACACAGTATGAACCTTTTATATCATGATCTAGGTCACATATATCCATTCACTATTTCTTCATTAAGTAGATACCGAATGCCATTCCGAGCGGAATACAGTGGTGAACAAAGAGAAAAGGAGGGAGAAACAAAAACGCTTGCCCTCTAAGAACTTACTTATTGGTGGAACAAACAGTGAGTAAAGTCAGTCAAATACTCTCACACAGAAACAGGGATTTGTGAAAAAACTTCTACTGCTGCATAGATACATGTTGATGTTTTCAACTTCTCCGAGGGGAGAAGTGCTTGCTGCACACTACTGAACCATTAAGTTGGTTTCTCACTTCAGTATGAAGAAACTCTTTGTAAAGGGAGGTGAACTTTTATGAGATACTTAAAAAATATGCCTGCACCATTTCATGAAGTAGGCAGCGTCCGATCCCCGTTTTACAGAGGAGATGGAGCGTCGTGTAGAGAGGTTAAGTTACTCAAATTCACCCACCTCAAGGCTTCTGCGTCCACTGCAGTCCTTGCAACGGTCCTCCCTCCTACGTCTCTTTGATTAGGGAACCCCACCTTGGTGTGGAATAGCTCTGCCCTCCCTGGCCAGGCCAACCACAGCAGGACTCCAGGCCTGTCCAGACACCTCTGCGTGCACTCTCCCCTTCCTCAGAGTTCCTGCTGAAACTCGGTCAGCTGCTGGCCACTGACAGGCATCTACATTCATCACTCTTCCCCTGAGCAGAGTAAGTAGTAGTACTTGTCTATGGAATCAAACTGAATTTGCAAGTGACTCCAAGAAAGGGATGTGCTTACTGACCAGCCCTGTAGGATTTGGGCAGTATCTGTTTAAAAGGCTAAGTAACTAGAAAAAATGCCACTGGAATAAAGATTTCTCACTACCTAAGTTATAAAAGTTACATTAGGCAGAGGCTTCAAAAATATAAATTCTAAATCCAAATTTCTTATCTCTCTAGTATTAGTAGATAGATTTAGAACCATGCCAGTAGGTCAAATTAATTTATGAAAAATGAGGGCCACTATACGAAGACCCAGGGAATACTGGGATGGACCTGAGGCAGGACAGGAGCCAGAGGCGCTGGGAAATGCAGCAGAAGTAAGTGAGCCTGGCAGTGGAGGTGACTGTCACCATGGGGACAGCCGACAGCTCCCCCAAATGAAGAAAATCAGTCCAAATATTAAGTCTGTGTGACACCGTCATGTCTAGAATTGTCCACATCTGCTTTAATTAGTTTGGGTAAGATAGGACTCCATGTTTGGTGGAAATATTTTAGAGAAGGAAGGAAGGAAGAAACTCCAAAAAGAGAGATGAACTTTGATTAAATATTGAACCAAACTGGGATTGATTTTGAGTTTACACTTCACCTTACCGCCAGAGAGGAAGGACTTAAGGTCAAGATGAATTCAGTTACAAGTAGTCATACAAAGTCCTTTATCTGTGATACAGTGTAAAATACTTCAATTCTATTAAAAGTTTAAAAATATAGATTTTTAAAGCAAAGTACCTCTAAGTTTCAGTGATCTACAAATCTACTAATGTATATCAATTACAGATTCAAATTCTGTAGGCCTAGGATAAGGCAGTGATGACTGCAAATTTAAATAAGCATCGCGGATCTTAGATTCTATTAAAGATGTGTCAGGTTGAGAAACTGACTTAACCTAACTCCTTCCACCTTAAAGTAATTTAAAAGGAGCTCAACTTGCATACATTTTAGGTAGACAAAAACAGACAATAAAACCACACAGGCACACCATCCATGTAATATACAATTTTGAAAACCACATTTCTTATAATCATTTTTAATAGCATTTAGGCACATCATTTATAGTGGCATAGGTTTATAAATGATGTCTAAGATTGATAATTTAGCCTTGGGTTTTCTTTTAAAATTGACAATTGGGGGACCAGTGATGAGTTGAAGGATCCTTATTTCCAGAAGATATGTGGACTATAAATTCAAAAGATACACTGATATCAGTCCTATACACAGCAAATATGAATGTTATTTAAGCCTATCGGTTCACATTTTTAAAAAGCACCCTCGTTTCTTTAAAGTTAAGTACTATAAATGGCTCTTGAAAGTCTACTGTGGACATGATATAGTCAGACAACTGGACAGGGGTAAATTATGTGGCCATCTAATTCAGAGTCTGATTTAGATTGGAAATCAAACTGCATTGCAAAAAAGTCTGTCACAGGTAGCATGAGTACGTCCTTAGGTGATACAGCTTCCACAGCTCTCCTCATCCATCATCCTGTTCACTCCTTTTTTGCTTTGACTTACACATAACTTTCTTTTAAAGAAGCAAAAAATAGAAAAGTTCACCAAATCCTGAAAGTCACAGTTTGGATAGCACTGAATGATAGTAGCTTTGGCATCTGAGATTACAAAGTCACTTTCATTGCAGATACTTTCTTCACTCTGGGTCAAGGCGAGGTAAAACAGGGAGAATAAGATTCCCAAATGCAGAGTCTTGAGTTATGAAGTATCCGGATGAATGTGCATGTGCATGCTGGGAAAGAGTTAAAAAAAAAAAAAAGGCAATAAGCTATTAATTAGTCAAACAAGGCATAAAAACGACTTATTCTTTCCCTTACTCTTGGGACTGATTTTAAAAATCAGTTCTAAAGCTGCTAATTTTGTTTAACTATATAGGAGACAGACAATAAAGAATTCATACTAACCAGATGCACCAGGTATTCATTTATCATCCCACTCTCTCCCCTGTGAGTCTATGCAGTTAGTAAATGAGTCAAAGACAGGGATTTCTTTGTTCCTCGGTGTGGGTAAAACTAGCCACAGAGGTCCCCAAGTGATCAAAAAGAGTCGAGCAGAGCAGCAGGTGGAAGGAGAAGGGCAAAAGGCACAGAATGTTGACATGTCAACAGCAAAGCCACCCGTGGCTTCCCCTGTCACTAAAGAAAGGAAGGCTGTTTTTAGGCTGTCTAAAGTGAGATGGTATTGAATGTCCCTTCCAATTCTGAGACTCTAAGGTTTAAATGAAAAAGTAATAATGTCACTCATCCCAGATATTTGGGCATCTCAGTTAAATTATCCAAGATCAGCGGAATATTAAAAGGCAATTACTGTGAAGAACAGTATTGTTCTTAACTGATTATTATTTTTTTGCTATGGTAAAAGTCTTCAAGTATCTTCTGCAAAAGAGGTCTGCTTACCATTAAAAAAATCCAAGCCATAAAAAACCAGTGAGCTGACCAAAGGATTTAACAGTGTGACAAATAGGGGGGAAAGCTACTATTAAGTTGGGCAGCTTTTTAGGATCATTCTGTCCACTCCGTTATCTATATCGTTTTGTGCAGGAGAAATTCCTTGCCACATACAGCCCTGACTCTGTCACGAGCGCATCAACACCATAAAACACACTTTCATTACTGCTCTCCGTCCTTCAAATCCTGGGAGCAAGTCACTGCATTATGTGTGGAACACATTTACTGACACTGTCCCACTGAAGTACAAAACGGGAACTGTGCTGGTTGACGGCCCAGAGAACGTGCGGTGGCCGTCTGCACACTCTGCTCACCTGTAAAGCTGCCTTCTGCTGGGCTGCGATGTGCTGCTGCTCTGCGTGGTCCCGGAAGTCCTTATTGAGAGCGGGTCTCGAGAGCGAGAGGCTAAAATGGGAACCTTAGTTACTTGGCTGCTGAAGGCAGAGATTTCTTAGGAGTCACATTTTCCATGATAAATGTCTTTATATGGGTTTAAAAAAAAAACTTCCAGAATAAGTCTTTTTTCCTTTTCCCAAAGCCTACGTTAACTTCTATGAAGAAAGCCTATGTTCTTTACTGGGGTTTCAAATGATCTCCTTTTGATAACTTATGGCTCCAGACATACACAGACTTGAGGTAATCATTCTACACAAAGTTACATTTATAATGCAAACCACAGAGTTTGCAAAAACACAGCATGCAAAAAGGCCCAGGGCAAAAGTGCTTGCTGTGTTTGAAGAAATCAGAGTATAGTAGAGGTGAAGTGGACTGGCAAGAGATGAGAATGGCAAGGAAGGCAGGTGCCAGGATGTAGAGCCTTGTGAAATAAGTTAAGAAATATAGACCTGAACACTAAGGAGACTTCCAAAGAGCATCATAGCAGAGGAATCGCCACACTCCTGCCTAGTGAGACCACTGCCAAGGCAGACAGTGCCGGTCACCTTCTCAACAACTGGTCTTAGTTGTCGGGGCCTGTGCTTCAGGACAGGGCGGGCTCAGCACCCAGACGGTGAACTCTGGTGAGAGACAGTCGTTCTCGCTGGTTTCTGGCTCACTGCCGGATCATATATCTCCCAGAGTTCATGCCAATTGTTAGTTTCCTGTCATTTCCAAAGTAAAACATCCAAACTGATACTATTGACAAATGCACTGACGAGGACTTAAGACTGTGGGAACTGAGTAGTTACACTAACAGGCAGAAGTGAGACTGGCCAGGTCCAGGACAGCATCAGCAGCAAAGAGGACTGCAGACACTTCAGGTGCAAGTGTAAGAGAATGGAAACTACTTGGAGGTGGAAGTTAAGAGAATAACAAACAATTTAAGTTCAGGTTTCTGACATGGGTAACTGATGGATCTGTACCATTCACTTACACAAAAATGCCCAAGAATATTAAGCAGTTAGAAGGAAAGTTATTAGCACACAAATAACAGGTTGTGAAAGTTGATGCAATGGGCTAGTGGTAAAGGGGAGCCTGGGAAACTGGGTGTAGAACACAACTTAGAGGAGCATCGACAGTGAGAAATGTCTGCAGAAGTTAGGGTCATAGATCAGTAAGTGAAGGGAAGCCAAATAAGGTTATTTTAAAAATGCAGAAGCAACTAGTAGTGTCAAACAATGCTGACATGTCTAATAAGAAACGGACTTTGGTCCGTACAAGTCAACCAGGAAAGGACCTATTCTTTGGTAGGGGAGAGCGGGCATGTCCTGAAGTCAGATTGTGGTGAGTGGAGGAGTAAAAAAGGTAAGAAAGCAGAGATAAGTGTAGACAGATAACTCCTCTAAGTGGTGTCGTTGAGAAAGAAGGGGAAACACAGGGCTGTAGCTGAATGAGAAAGAGTATCTGAGGGGAAACATTAGTAAACTGAATACATTTAAGATCATTAAATCACCTAAATTAACCTACTCTGCAGAATGTTCAAAAAGTGAAACATTAGCCATCATTTCAGGAACAAAAGCCATACAAAACCCTTTTCTGTTTTTTGAAGTAGGAAAATGAAAAGAAAAATATTCTGATTAGAATTAAAATGTTCAAAATCAAATCCATTAAAAAGTCTAATTTTCTTCAACCCCAACTAAGAAACAAAACATAACATATACATTCCAATGTCAAAAAAAAAAGAAAAGAAAAGAAAATCATTGCCAACCAGTTTGGGTTTGGGGTTGCCAAGATATTTTTTTATATCACAGAATATAAAACCCACATTATTCTTCAATACCTAGCTCCAGGATGATTTGTTGAAGACTGGTTCTGCATTAGTAATTTTCTTTTCTCTTTGTCCAGTTCTGCCAAGATTGCAACTCTATTTTTGTTTTGGAAACCTGAAAAGGGGAAAGGAGAAAGAGAAATAAGAAGCATTTTAGCACTTTTATTAATCTTAACCATCTAGAAACCCAGAAACAAAATCCTATTCTTGAACATGATAAGGGACTCATGAGTTTCCTACTACCTACTTCTCTGCAATACAGTATATTTACTGAGGACTTCCAAGACTTAATTCTAAAGAATTTTCATCACCAAAGTATAGATAACAGCATTTTTTTTTTTAAACCAAATCTGTGCCCAGTCTCCATCCTGCTCAATTCCTGGAAGTGAAGGTTTACTGTTTTCTGTTGTAGGCCTCTATGAATGCCTCTTTATTGGGGGCGGGGCAAACGTTAGACTACTCAGGTCAAAACAGCCTTTTCTCAAACTAAAAAGACCCTAAAACATAGCACCTAAAATTGAATTATAAAGGGGTCTAGTGTACACTAATACAGCTTTTATATCAATTTAAAAAATGTAACCAAAATTTGGGATTTGGCTAAGTATCAAATTCATCAATAGCCCTAAACCTGAATTTTTTTCTGAAATTTTATTTTGGCTTACTAGTGTTAAAGATGACCGCAAGTCCAAGAAGACGGAAGGAAAGAATAATCCTGGGAAACTACAGAAATGAGAATCTGGGAAGATTCTTAAAACTCTCGTAAGAGCTGTAAAAAAACAAACAAAAAAACAACTATCCTAAGTACATTGATTAATTAAATCCATAGGTTAATAGTGTATATGCTATATCAAAGCATTTCAAGTATTACATAAGTCATATTAATTATAATTTAACTGTTTAGAGTTTAAACCTGAAATTAATTCCTAAATGTTTAATATTTTCATTTTAGAGCATAGCTTGTTAGATCAGTAGCTTTATTAAACTGAGCATGAATTTTGAATAGTGGTAAGTATTCCCCCCCCCATGCACAAATTCCCCTCAGATATTAAAGGATTTGTTTAAAATAGTTAAAACAAGTGATAATTAAATAGGGGCTGCTCACAGCCTTCCTTCGTAAAGATGGGGTGATACTATCTCTTCTAACTTACTTCAAACCCGAGTGCACATACTAGGTAGTCTATCTGCAATGTGAAGTAATTAAGAAGTGTAAGTCTCCATCTTTGGGTGTTTATACAAACTTGTTCTGAGTAGGGCATTGGTATATAACATTTAACTAAATGTTTTACTTAACTCTCTACATTAAGTTTTTTTAATACACAGTTTTTTACCATAATTTAACCTGCTTTCTACATTCTTAGAAGCATAAAGACGTTAGAGATATTTAATATATTACCTTATATTCAGTAGGGATTACTTAATATTCCTTTGTAAGTTTCCTAATAAAATGATCTTAGAATAAAGCGGCAGTCTAAAAATATTTCCATTTTTAGAACTATAACCCTATTTCCATTCACAATCTCACATAATCTCATTTCCACATTCATTCATAGAAACATTTACCTCCCACACACTAAATTCTCAGGTAACTAGCATTATATCAGATTTGCATTTAAAACCTAAGAATTGAAATTCATTTTCTATTAAGAAAGGGCTCTATCATATTTAAACAATTAAATGCATTTTTACTGGAAAAATACACCCTAGAGTATCACACACACATCTGTTTAGTATTAAAGAAAAGTCACTGTAGCACTATTAGTTTAGCATGTTTTAAATTACTGATCCACCATGTTGTTACTGTGCCATCTTCCCATCTAGGCACTAAGGTAGGTTCTAAGGACACACTGATGAGCAAAAACATGATGCCGATGCTCATGGTTCTCAAACAGTCCGGTGAAGACAGGAATCAGTCAAGTAATCACATGAATGAATGTATACCTAGGCCTCCAGGATGAGTACTATGCAAGAAAGAAACTTTGACAAGCATTTATAGGAGTCAATACTGAATAAATTTGACTTTGAGTGGGAGCAGGAATGTATCATGGAAGGTTTCCATAGGAAGTAATGACTGAGCTGAAATCCAAAAGAGTAAGTTAGTGAACTATTTTGTGAACCAGGGGTAGGGGACAAAGTAACTTTCCCCACTTTGAAAAGATCAGTTTAACTGAAATGTTAGAGAAATAAGATGTGTACCAACTACCTCCAACTGTATAATGAGCCGTCCAAAGACTTACTGGCTTAAACCAGCACTTATTTTACTTATGCATGTTTCTATGGGTTGTGTTAGCTGGCTGATTCTTTTACTGGTCTCACTTGGGGTACCCATGTGTGTGCAGGCATCTGGATACTGCAGAGGAGACAGCCTGTCTCTGCTCCACGGGTTCCCAGGATTAACTAAACTGTGCTTCCTCATGGTGTTGAGATGATGAAAGCAGAACCTGTAAGACTCTCTAAGAGGAAAACGGATGGCAGAACAATCACATGGAATCACCCAGGTAGAGGGGGTCAAGGTGGTGGATGGTGACTGGGTACTTGGTGCAAGTGTGAAATATAGTTGTCGAGGTAAAAACCTGTACACCTGCAACTTTACAGTCTTGTATTACCTCAGTAAAATAATAAATAGAAAGGGACACTTCAAAACCAAAACAAAACATGTAACTTGATTAACACCAGTAATTAGTCTTCTAAGTGTCTAGTTAATGGCAAACATTTCCTATGTCTTGCAAGAAAATATATAATTTCAGATAAAAAAATATTCAAATCCTAGTGACCCTTCAGGAATTTACTGAAGATACATATCAAAGAAAAGGCATAAGCCACTACATTTGTTCGGGTAATCTCCCTGTGTTCAAGTTCTTTCTCACCCAGACCCCAAGAGTTTACCACTTCTAAGCTAGATGCCACCTTTTCTATCCATTGAGGTTTCTCATCTTCAGGACTGTTGAATAAGATGAAATATTTTCTGTTTGTATCAATCTTTCCTCCTCACTCACTTTCTTTTCCTCTTGCAGATAAAACTTATAGAATCATTTCCCTGTAAGGATTTTCTGATTATAACAATATAGAAGAGCTACAAAGATTAAGGAGATGTTACCCCTTGTCTAGAGCTTCCAATATACTTAGATGCTTTACGGAGAATGTCCTAGTTCCCCAGCTAAACTGCAGAAGAGGTAACAGAATCAATTTGGATTTTCTTCTCAGTACTTTTAGTTACTATGTACTGTTGGCAAAATTACCTTACTGTACAGGATCAATGGAGATAACAACTTCTACAGCAAGGTAAATAAAAGCAACAATAAGCAATTGGGATTACCTTAACTGAAAAACTATACAAGTAATGCTATACAAGTAACAAGAAATACAAGTAGATTAAAATGAGTACCTTACAGAATGAGAGAAAATATTCACACACTGCACAATCGACAGTGGGTTAATATTCAAGACACAAAAAACTTATCCAATTTAATTTAAATTAAACAAAGGGGCAGATCTGAACAGACAATTCACCAAAGAGGCTACCCAGAGGGCCAACAGATACATGGGAAAATGTTGGTCATTGCTTTTAATAAGATGCAGATCAAAATCACAAAATCCCCATCTCATACCTGTGAGAATGGCATATTTTAACAAGACCTCCAACATGAGGAATAAGAAAGTCAGCGGAGAAAGAGGAGCCCTATGACACTGCTGGTGGGACTATAAACTATGTAGCCACTTTGAAAAGTGATCTGGTTTACCAAAAAAAAAAGTGAATGCCATATATCCCAACAATCTAGGCACCTATCCAAACATGAAACCATCACATGCAAAAATGTCATGATCTGTAATGTTTACTGCAGGATTATTTACAACAGCTAGCAACTGGATACAACCTCCCAAGTGTCAACTCAGGGAGGAATGGAGCAAAAGATACAGTGTATCCACACCATGGAATCCCATTCCTCACCAGGAAAAGATGAAATGTTGCCTGATGGTAAAATGGACGGAGTTGAAGGGAGTTATGTCTAGGAAAGCTCAGAATGGCAAAAATTATTGGACATGACACAGCTGACAATTCGACGAAGCAAAATATGTATAAAAATAAGTAGATGCCGATCAATGAAACGAGGCTTCTGAAGTTCAGAGGCGGCAGAGTATGGTCAAAGAGGTATAAGCATGTGGTGGGGGCAAGGGAAGGGGAGAAATGCATGCTGCACTTTCTGGCGGAAAAGTGAGATTCATGAGCCAACAATGCACTACAAGCCAATTTCTACACAGACAATGATTTGTCAAATATTACAAAATAGTAAAAGAGACCTCTAAGGTCATTTAATTAATTGGACAAAGTTTTAAGTAATGATTATCTTTAGAATATTAGCAATTGCCCATTCAGTAGGCATCAAAAAGAGAAAAGAGCTCTTACTCTTTAAAAAATGTATTAAAGTGAGATTTATAAAAAATACTAAGGGCAGATGGATTATTAAAAAAAATCCAAGCCACACCACAGATTAATTAAACCAGAATCAATGGAAATGGAATCACAAGTTGGTAGCTATAAAAGGACACACATAAAAAAATAAAATAAAAATAAAAAGTAGAAGAAAAAAAAACAAATTCAATTTTGTCTTTGTGTCCACAACCTCATGCATCCACAACCTCATCTTTTAAAAGGCATAAATACAAGAATCTTAAGATGATTCCTATGTGCCACTGTGATAAACTCTTAGTTATGAGGAGCATACCTTCGTACAGTCTTAAAGGATAAATTTGTTTTCCTTCTGGGCTTATCGGTGGTTTAGGTTATGACTTCCACTTGGGTCTGCATGTCAAGCAGATCATTTCCCAGGAGCTGTGCCGCCCCATCCTACACAAACCTGGATATGACAATTAAGAACATCTGGAGTAATGCCCCATCAGTAGTTCCCACCAGTTGATACAGGGACTATAACGACCAGAAACATCCTGGGATAAATATAAAAGAGTCTAAGAAAAAGATTCATGTTCCTCACCCAGCTCCTATCCCTTACACCAGGTCTCTTGTATCTGAAATCAGGCCAGACCAATCCAACTGCCACATGACAGGACCTTGACATTTGCTAATGATGAAAGACTCTTTACATAGGAACGGCACCTTGGCTAGCCTTCAGTTTGACACTCTGCCTCTATGTATTAAATTCTCAAAATTTTATTTCTCATCCATCAAATAATTATTGAGAAACTACCAAATGTTCCACACCACAATGGTTGATTTCGGGAACTGTCTGCCAAGAACTTAATAAAATAAATTTAGCAGCTAATTCTGAAAGAGGGCTTGGTGAACAGAATGGGTTTCTATTCCCTAGACCAGAGAAATTAACAAAGCACAATGCACAAATCTCAAAAAAAAATTTAAGTCATGGTTCTTTCACTTAACATTTTAAGACAAGTACGGCACTTGACATTCAATCTCCACATTAAGTAGTTCCTATATGTGGAAACAGTACAGAAATGATTTAATACAGAGGGTAAAAGGCAACTGACAAATACGTATTAGGTTTCAAGGAGATCCAGGGAGTTTGGAGAACATGACATGCACGCGCCCCCTGCTGGTGCATAGTAACAGCAGCTCTGTTACACCAACAAAATCGCTGTGAAAGAACAGAGCCAAAGGACTAATTTAAATTTGCCTCTATTTAGATTAGGGGGTGTTGTGAATTCGACTATGTGTCAGTCAACAGCAACAGTAAAAATGACTACATTGTACTGCAACTGCTAAAAAAAAAAAGAAAAAGAAAAAGAAACTCACAAATTGTAAATCTCAACTATTTGTACTATTCCATTCAGGCTGCATTGTGCAATTTTTCTTTCTAAAGTAGAGTCTCTTAATTTTTGTTTTGGTTCAAATTCTTTTCCATCTAAACCCTTAAAGTTTGCTTAACATAAAAGGCCACAGGGAAATAAAAACTTGTGACTAGTCCATAGAGTACACAAATCACACGCAATTATTTGAGAGAATCGAGCTGGCAAAATTGTCGCCATAGCTACTAGCATTTTACAATTCTACATTTCTGTAAAACTCATGTAACCTTTATAGTTTGTCCTAAATGCAACTAATAAATACTAAGCTCAGTGGGCTTCCAACTTTTGGTTAGACTAGTCCTGCTATGAATATAATTACAAATTTTGACAAAGTGTTAGAAATTCATTATTTGAAGACATTAGACTGACAAAATCAGGTAGAAACTGCAGCTGATGAGATCTGGAGTTTGTGGCCTCTGCCTGAAGCATTCCCCCCATCAACACACAGATTGGGTAAGTTTCCTTGCTGGTGTGAAGTATTAGGGGCATTATTCAGGGCTAGGAGAGTAGCTGGAAATTAGGGCAGAGACCTAAGAGGGAAAGGCTGGACTAAAGCCCAAAATAAGCATGTAAAATCCACTTAAGTGTTTCCTTACAGCTAAACTACATATATAGCTTTTATGGGCTCCCCAGGGAGTCCAGCACTAAAGTAACAGTCAGGAACTAAAAAGATTAAGCTGGTGATATCCTACACAAAGGAGACAAGACTTTGAAGCTGTGGGCTGGGGGGGTGGAAAATGACTTCTCAGAGGAAAACAATAGAATCCAAAGTCTCTATAATGCATTAGTCATAGTACATTATAATATCCAATAACAAACAACTAAGTATAGCAAGAAAAGGAAAATGTGACCCATAGTGAAAAAAAGAAAAATTCAGTTAACAGGAACCAACTTCAAGATGAACCACATGATTCAATGAGTAGTCAAGGACTTAAAAATCTGCTAGCAAAGATGGGCAAGGACCTAAGGAAAATACATACATAATAAAAGGAGCATCTTAACAGAATAATATGAACTACAGAAGAGAATCAAATGGAAAATTTGGAGCTATCAATAAAATAAAATGCTCACTGGACTGAATTAACAATAGATGGATATGCAGAACATTTTAAAGTTTCAGCATCAGAAATTATTCACTCTGAAGAACAAAGGAAAAATACTGAAGAAAAATAAGCAAAGCCTGGATATCTATGTGATAATATCAAATATCTAATATAGATGCACTTGCAATTTCTGAAGAAAAAGAAAAGCCTGAATCAAAAAATAATACCTGAGTAACTGAAGAAAATGTCCCAAATTTGGTAAAAGATAGCAACTTACGGCCACAAGATGCTCAACAAACCAACCATCCCAGACATATCATAGCCAGACTACTAAAATAAAAGACAGAGAAAACTTGAAAAGCAATCAGGGAAAAACAACATATTGCACATCAGAAACGAACATACCGATGAGAAAATAAAAAGCGAGAGTATAAGTAAAAAAAAAAAACACACACACACAAAAAAAACCCAACTTACTAAAATTACCTCAATTTTTTAAAAACAAGCAAAAGATCTGAATAAGTATTTCACTATGGAAGATTTATAGTGGCCAGTAAATACATTTTTTTAAAATGCCGAAATTATAAATTTAAAAATGCTCCGCAATCTTCCTCAGAGACATGCAAGTTAATACAATGAGAGGTCATTTCATACCCTCTAAAATGGCTAAAATTAAAGTGGCAGATAAACTCTACGTGGAGCAACCCAAATTTTCACTCACTGCTGAAGAGAACATGAAATGGTGCTACCACTTTAGAAAGTATTTAGTATTTTTTTCATAGACTCAGCTGTTTCATCCCTTTACATTTATCCAAGAGAAATAAAAACATTCATCTGCAAAAAAATTTAATTAGAAACAAATGTTCACACTAGCTTTATTTACAACAGGCCTATCTGAGGCAATCCCAGAGTCCCCAAACAGGAGTATGAATAAAGAAATTGTGGAAAATTCACATAAACACTATTTTGCAATTAAAAGGCATAGACATAGACACAACATCACACAGTATTACAGACAGTACAGTGAGGGTAAGAACCTGGATACAAATTTCATGACTCAACTTAAATGAAGCTTAATGTAAGACAAAAAACTACAGTTTAATAAAAGTCAGGATAAATCAGAAGGAAAATAAGTGACATAAAAATATGATGGGTCAAATAAGCTTAGACTTTATATGAAAAGGAGATAGATGCTTACCACTAAACAGGAAACTAGTTACCAAATGGTATTTGATACTTTACAGAGATGTAATTTTAGATGGTCTCACACAAGACTCACTTTTAAGTAAAATCTCTTAAGATGTATCTAATTTGATTTGCTGTAGAATTCTTAACAAAGGTGAAATGTGTATAAACATTTGTAGGACCAATGAAAAAGCTCAAGTATTGCCTGATGAAATTAACTCTTTAAAAATGGTTCTAACTTCAAGTAAAAGAGCGAGAAAAAACAGATGTTAGGGGGGAAAAAAATTAATGTGAATCTCCTTTAACACAGGTTAAAACAGGATTAGTAGCTACTAAGAACGTGGTCTAATTAATGCAATGTTGGATGTGCTTCAATATAGGGTTTTTACTTTGCTGAGAAATATACAGTAACTGGCCTATGCTAATTTTTCTCTTACTAAAAATGCTTTTACTAGAGGACAAGGGAAAAATATATTTACTGACAGGATAAAAGTTACTAGCAATATAAGAAACTCCAGCATGGGCCCTCCCTGGTGGCGCAGTGGGTTAAAGTACAGCACTCTGAAGCTAGCCATGGCTGCTTCAGCACCAATTCGATTCCCACCCAGGGAGGTGACCCATATGGCCCAGCAGACTACTGCTTTGCCCTCTGCTCCCCTCAAGTGAACTTTGTCAAAATGCCTGTTTTGCTCCCCATTCTGTTTCTGGTGACTCCTTTCACGGCCCCTGAGCCTATACCCCAGTTCTGTATGCATAAATAAATAAATCTTAAAAAAGGGGGGGAAACTCCAGCATATATTACCTTGTCCTGAAGAGTTTGCTGCCATTTCCTTATTTTCTGTTTCACTGTTTCAACTGTGTTCAGTGGCAATTGGTCAGCACTTCACAATCGCCTGTAAAAAATATGTGCATGCACATATAAAATGCACCATTCTTTAATAACAAATTAAAATCTAGCTTTCCCTACAAGGAAATGCTTGCAGTTTAATTCTTCAGAAGCCTATCTGTGAAAAGCCCAGACTTAAATAACAAATTTAAACTCTACAGCACTCCAAATATTGAATTAGAGGATGAAGGTTGTTTATAACTTGCAGCTGTTAATAACGCATTTAGCATTACTGTCTTTAACAAACATCATTAGACTGCATTTAGCAGATACTACGAAATGTGTCAACCAACAGGTAACATCAATACAAGCACAAGGCTAGGAAGAAAACCCACTCATCTCTGGGTGTCTCTCAATTCACAGAAAAAACACTCAGCAACTACTGGATACACTGAAAGCTAAACAGGAAAAGGAGTCTGACATTTATCGAGTACTCACTCTGCACCACAGACTACAGGAAGATGTTTGAACCTAGTTAATCACAATGTTATAGATGAGAAGATAGTCGCCCAGGTCTCAAAGCTACTAACAATAATCTGGGTAAGTTCCAGACTTCGTGCTTTTGTACTAGGCCTGCACATGGGGACCCCCAAAGAGCAAGATCTTACTCTTGTCCTCAAGGAATACAGACTCTGGTGGGAAAACAGTCTCATTCAAGAAACCGGCCTTTAAAAAAAAATAAGTTCAAAAATCGCGCTCTTTAAAAGACGTCCACTGTGCTCCGGAAGCAGAGAGGAAGCGAGCCTACCAGCGCCAGGAGGGATGCCCTCGGGGGAGCCCCGGGCAGGAGAGGCTAGCAAGCCCAGGTCGGTTTTGGACTAATGTCCTTAGGTGTCTCCAGCAGCTGAAGCACGGGGGTGAGGGCGGGGGGCAAGTCCGGGAGGGCGGAGGCCAGAGGGGCGTCTGCAGAAAGGGCAGGAATAGCCCCTTTCTAGCCTTGTGCAGGAAAGTGACAGCACTGCGCTTCAGAAGGGCCCCGCGGGCCCGCGAGGAGGGCCGGCTGGGCAGAGGCTGCGGCCGAGGCGGAGGAGAGGAGGGGATGAGAAACCCCCGGAGGAAAGGGGGGCGAGGAGGCCGCCGCCGGTGGCAACAAAGACGGCGGCAGCAGGTCAGCGCCCGGCGACCATCACCCGGGTGCCTGTCCTACTTACCAGGGACGCGAGAGCGCCCGGCACCGCCTCGCCTTCCGATCGCGCTCTCAAAGGGGGCGCGACCACTTAGAGACCAGCAAACCCAACCCAACGTGCAGCCCTACAACCTTCCCGCCCCCGCCGTGCTTCCGCCTCCTGATTGATGTACAGCCGAGGAGCGGAAGTCCCGCCCCCCGCCTGGACCCGAGACCGGTGCCCACCAAGATTCGTGCTTTAATTGCCACCTCAATGCAGACACCACTTCCCGGTCCAAGAGTGGCAGCCTAAGAGGCTCATGGGAGATGCAGGCCGCGCTGTGAGGGCGGGGCTCTGTGGGCGGGGCCGAGGGCGGGGTGGAGTGACGTAGCCCGTGGGTTTGGTTTAAAGAAACTGGGCCCCTAGCACCGAGCAGGGATCTTCTAGGCTGCGGGCACGGAGAAAGAAGAAAGGCACAGGTGCTCGGGTCCTGGGACGCTGTAAATCCACTTCCTCTGTGCTGACGCCCAGCTGCCGCCGAAACTTGGAGGCGTCTTTACATCCTGGGTTGGCTTTCATATTACCCTTAAAAAAAGTTATTATTGAAGTAACATTGGTTTTATAGCATTATATACACAAAATTTCTCTTTCACGTATTCAAAATGATCTCGGGTTGTGTGTCCACACTCGCAAGTCCCAGGAACGTTTTCCTTTTATATGTAAGAAAATCACTAAGTATGTAGAAATTTTCACTGGTGTACCATCTGTGTTTAAGATGCGCCTAGTTGGAACGAACATCTAATTCCAGCCGTGTTCGTTTGTATATTCGCTTGGAGAGGTAACTGTGTTGCTGTGAACCTGTTCTGTGACCTTTATCCATGTTATGCACCCTTTTTCGAATTTGCACAGATGTTCTTAATTATGTTTGCTCAATGATAAATGTTTATGATGCACAGTTTTGTTGTGTGTGGATCCATGATTGAAACAATTAAAGCATTATTGAGGGCCTTCTATATACTAGGTGGTTCCTGTGTATCAATTCTGGCTCGGTCATTCCTGGATAGGAGACTCAGAAATGTCGAGTTACTTTATGTGAAATAATGGGTTGAATGTTAAAGGCCTAAGGCTGGTGCTTTCAAATCTCACACATTGTTTCTAACCAGGAAGAAGGAATTCCTCTGAGACCAGCTCTTGCTGACTACTTTAATTTAGATATGAAGTGTAAGGCATCAGCACTTTGGTAGCTGGCCAGGATCGCTTTTCATTTAAGAGGACTTTTTGAGTCCTGGTGTGACTAACTAGATGCCTTTGATGTTCTGCCTTTTATATTACCTGACCTGACAATACAGAAACTGAGAGAAAATAGTGCCAGTTTAAGTCCCAAATGGACATAGGAGAAAAAGAAAGACTTCCCTCCTCCCACCCCACCCCCACCCAGAACAACATGTCTCCCATGTTGATAGAACATTAAAAAAAAAAAAAGATTAAGTTGCTGATGATTCTTTTTGCCATTTGTTTGGTGGGTTTTAGCCCTTAAACTCTTCCAATTTCTCCAGGTGAATTTTTGGAATGTCTACCTCATGACAATTTTTAAAAAATATTTATGCTGAAAGAACTGGGGTACAGGCCAGAGGTGTGGGGGAGAGAGGATTCACCAGAGACAGAGTGGGGAGCAGAATAGACAGATCTATTGAAATATACTGCTGTGGGGAGCAGCGGGTGGGTCAGGAGAGGTCTGCCAGGCCATGTGGGTCACCTCCCTAGAGGGGGATCCTGCTGCAGTGGCTTCTGAGAGCTTCATAATGCCGTGCTTTAATCCATTGCCCCACCAGAGAGAACCCAAGAATTTTAACACATTGGTTAGCAGTGGCTTAGTTTTGCTGGGTTCAAATTTTAGCTCTGATACTTAATGAGTATGAGGACTGATTTTCTGTCATCTCTAAAAAGGAAACAAAAATTGAACTACTGACCATACCCACTGGATAGCTATTAGGTAAAAAAAATAATTAACCAATTAAACTGACAAGTGTTGAGGGGCCCTCCCTGGTGGCACAGTGGGTTAAAGCACAGCACTAAGAAGCTAAAGCCACTTCAACATGAGTTCCATCCCTGCCTGTCCCGGAGGTGACCCACATGGCGCAACAGACCTCTCCTGACCTGCCAAATGCTCCCCTCAGCAGTATACTTCATTGATCTGCCTGTTCTGCTCCCCACTCTGTCTCTGGTGAATCCTCTCACCGCCCCTGACCCTCTGGCCTGTACCCCAGTTCTGTATGCATAAATAAATAAATCTTTTTAAAAAATGACAAGTGTTGATAGAGAAACAGGAGCCAAAAGGTAAAAAAAAACCCACATATCCACTAATGGATGAATGGATAAGTAAAAGGCAGCATGTCCATACAAAATTAGTTGTTATTCAGCCTTTTTTAAAAAGGGGGTTCTCTGATAGGCTAGAGCATTCTTTAACCTTGAGGATATTATGCTAAGTGAAATAGACCAGTCTCAAAAACATAAATACTGTGTGATTCCACTTATATGAGATAACGTTGTCAAAATCATAGGGACAGAAGGTAGGATGGCAGTTGCCAGGAGCTGAAGATTAGGGGAGAATGGAGGGTTATGTAACGGGTGTGGCCTTCAGTTGCTCAAGATAAAAAGAATTCTGGGAATGGATGGTGGTGATGGTAGCAATGATGAAAGATTTGTGTTTGGTTATTTTGGTCAATAGGTCGACTGAGAAATACATATATACTACCTACCTAGTAGGGGAAAGTCCAAAGCAACCGGAATGCATGCTACCATCCTGTGGTGCTGTTCACTGATAAGGAAACACTAGGTAGCGCTCAGTGAGGTGATTCATCCTGCAGCCATAATGATGATTAGAGACCTTCAACATCAAAGCAGAGAGTTGAGAATAGTTCACACTTTCTCGGTGGAACCACCCTCTCTCTCTTTTGCTTTTCTGCAATTAATTATTAATGAAACATGCATTAAGCTAGACAGCCTTTAAAATCAAATGTGCAGAAGTCTGAAGTAATTACTGTATTTTTAAACTATTGCTTGTAACAAATTGCCACCAACCTCAGTCATTTAAAACAACACGTGTTTATTCTGATGTTAGTGTATGACCAAGGACCTAGGATCCCAAATTGCTAGAGTGGGCATGCTCTGAGAGGGTCTGGCCATCTGTACACAAGGCAAAAAAAAGTACCCTCCTAGTATGAATGATTTTTAATACCATGGGTATACAGAGAGAGAGAAAGGATTTAAATAACAGCAAATTCTGGTTCTGCCACTTACATTTAGAAAAGTTGACCCCACTAGCCTTCCAGTTCCTCATCTGAGGGGTGGATAATAAAACACCCCAACAACAATTGATGTGATTGGACACAGAGCATTCTCCACTTATGGGGAAGCTATTGTTGAAAGAGAAGTGAGTTTCAGTTAGCTCAGGAAGTGAACAGATGCTTCAGTGGTCTAGGTAAGGGGAATTTTCTTACTATTGAAAGAAACTTCTAAAAATTTTAGGGGAAATGGGGACCTCTTATTGAATCTTTACTATGTGGCAGGACTCTGTATACATTGTCTCCAGGTCAAGCTTTGAGAGGGATACAATGATCACCTTCCTATTGATATTTTAAGCACATGGAGACATTGAAACTTTGAGAAATTAACTAACTGGTCCAAGATGCCACCATTTTTTGTTTGTCCCAGTGAGCTAAAATCACTAGTTGAGGCTACCCCTTGTGATAATAACCTTGGCCAAGGGCAAGAAAGTTGGCATGATCACAAGCTGCCAGCTATTGTAGATTGAGGACCTGGATGAAGAATGTTCTAGTCTGCAATTTGCTGGTCAGGCACAGACAGCGAAGCATTAGCTCTCTGCCTCTTGCCCCATGGAGGCATTCATGCGTCTCCTCATTTTGGGGGGGGGGGGGGGGGAAGAGCAGATGAAGTCTTGACAGAAATGTTTTATTTAACAGACTGGCTTTAAAGAGTTTTCTTTTACCACCAGCTTGTCCCCTTAAATGGATTGAAGCCTGATTTTTTTTTAAAGATTTATTTATTTATGTATGCATACAAGTACTGGAGTACAGGTCAGAGGTGCAGGGGATGAGACCATCCACCAAAGACAGAGTGGGGGGCAGAACAGGCCGACTGATGAAGTACACTGCTGAGGGGAGCAGCAGGCGGGTCAGGAGATGTTTGCTGCACCATGTGGGTCACCTCCCTGGCTGGGGATCGGACTCATGATACAGTAGTTGGTAACTTCATAGTGCTGAGACTTAACCCCTTGCTCTACCAGTGAGGCCCCCAAACCCTAATGTTTTCAGTGGAATATTCTGAGGACTCATTAAATTGTATAAACTCCTTAAGCTTCATGTCCTCTGCTTCGAATTTGGCCACCTCTTGAGGGCCAGCTTCCAGCATCCTCAAAGTACCTAGAAGAATGCTTACCTGCTGCTGATTTTTAAGTTAGTTTAAATTTAATTGCAACTAAAGTTGAAACATGCCCCCTTAATCATTTATTCCATAAAAGTGAAAATACAAATGGAATGACTTGTCCTTGTCTAAAAGATGCCTTGAGTGTGCAGCCAGAATCCGAGTTTTGCTTTTCTACTGTTTTAAAAGCTGATCTAATCCTTTTGTCAAATAATACTTTGTGGGTTCTCACTGAGTATGGCTAACATGCCCTTCAGCATTACTGCTCTTTCGAAGTTCAGGGTGTTTGTTCTTCTTAGACTATAGCACTAACACTGTTAACAGCTCTTCCAGGCTTGATGGCATTTATAAACTTAATAAATTTGTTCAAGGGCTATTACTTGAGATCACTAGTCATCATTTATGATAAAATACCTGCCTTATGCTGCTTGCTCCAAAATCCTCAGAATTCCTATAGTTCCTTGGTTATTGCTTGGTACTTTCTATTTAGCACTTTGGTGACAGCTTTTTTCTTTTCTTTTCTTTTTTAAAAAGATTTATTTATTTATGCATGTAAGAACTGGGGTATAGGCTAGAGATGCAGGGTGGGGGAGAGGATTCACCAGAGACAGAGTGGGGAGCAGAATAGGCAGACTGACTGAAACACACTGCTGAAGGGAGCAGCAGGCGAGACAGGAGAGGTCTGCCAGGCCAGGTGGGTCACGTCCCTGGCCCAGAATCCAGCTCGTGCTACAGTGGCTGTGGATAGTTTCAAAGTGCAGCACTTTAACCCCTTGTGCCACCAGGGAG